CGCAGGCCTGGGCTACGGAGCACGCGCCAGTGGTAGCGGCATTGGGCTTGCCAACTTCATGGGGGCACGCGCGCAAAGCCTGGCTGGACGGGAATGCGTCGACGGAGGGGTGCGTCGGTTGGTCGCGAATTTCGGCAGCGTCGCCAGTGCGAGACCGCAAGATGGCGCCGTTGCTGGCGCGAGGAGCAGTCAGGACGTCGCGTCCGATGCCGGAGCGCTTGTAGATCTGGGGGAGTGAGACGACACTTTCGCGACGCGACGCGGTGGTGGGCGCCGTCGAGATCAGGGAGGGGCCAACGATGTAGGCGCCGCGTATTCGGTCGCGGAATCTCCCTGGGGCGAAGCGGCCCGCGGGCAATCGAGAGGTGCGACTGGATCTCGTTGCTGGCGTCTACAGCAAGCCATGTGGAACATCGACGACGCGACTAAAGCATTGCGCGTTCACCGTGGAGCTGCAGCGTCGTTTCGTGGGCCCTTGGCGCACGCGGCCCACGTGGAGGCGCGCGAGGTGCCTCAGTGGTCCGAGGCGCCTGCCTGGCTGGAGAAGCACTGCCGCATGCGCATCAACGAGCAGTTAGCAGGCGCCACGACGTGGGCGAGGCGCGTTGCGCAGGAAGAGGGAGAGGCAGTCGGGGGCGAGACGCAACCATTGCAGTGGCTTGCGCATGCCGTCCCCGGAGCGGGGATGTCGTTCTGCACGAAAAGATCGCAGTTTTCTTCGAAGAGGTGATGGGTGACACTTGCACCTTGCAAGTGATGCTGGCGGCGGAGCTCGGGAAGGGCACGGCGCATTTTGGCGGGCCTCAGCCCGTGCATGAAGAGCGGGGTCGCGGAAAGCAATGTTGATGCGCATTTGGCAAGCCAGCCAGTGCAGAGCAGGCTTCTGTGCGGGGTCGTTCTCATGAATGAGGTGTTCATGCTATCTGCTCAGTTATTTGCCGAAATGGAGAACCGAATCGGGGGCGAGGTCTCGGACGCGTCGCGGTGCAAGTGCGACAGGGCCGGTCTGCGTCGAGAGCGGGGCGGTATTAACTTGGGATTCGTTCGCGACAGTTGCCAGTTGGATTGTCCGGAGGGCACCCCGTTGCATAAGATACCGCAACTCTTTGCGCAGGAGAAGGGTCAGAAGAAAGAGACCGCGCCCGCGCGGGAGGGCTTGGAGGTCACGTGGAATTGCGCGCAGGGTGTGAGGGAGTTGACGCGCCCGCGCAGGTCGCGGACCGCTGGTGGAATTCAGTGTTGGACGAAATCCGCGTGGCAGAGGTCAGCGACGACAATCATGTATTCTTGCGCGGGGAGGAAACCAGTGTTCCGGGCAGTTGAGTCAGAGGCGCGGCGGAATGCAAGAGCGCGGCGCGCGGTAGGTTTCCGGCGAGATGGGCGAAGATGAAACAGAGAGGGGCCACGTGGATGACGTTGCAAAACATGGAGTGCCCCATTCGTCGTGATGATCGAAAGTCGCGCCATCGAGTTATTCCCCAATCAGAGCTTGCCTCTGTAGGGGTCCTAGCGGATTCATATGGATAGGTGAGGTGCGGCGCCGATTTGGTGGCTGCGGCCGGGTGCCCGGGTGCCCGGGTGCCCGTGGGTGCCCGGTGCCCCAGGATTTCGGTGGCCGGGTGCCTGGGTGCCCGTGGGTGCCCGGGTGCCCGGGTGCTCGGGGGTGCCCGGAGGTGCCCAGGGGTGCATGGGTACTTCATAACCATGTAGCCCTCTAGCTTGGCAGCTCTATCGCCCAATAGCCCATATAGCCCATGTGGCCTTCTAGCCCAATAGCCCGACAGCCCTACAGCCCTATGGCCCCATAGGCCTATGGCCCCTATAGCCCAATAGCCCCATAGCACTATACCCCCATAGCCCTATAGCCCCATAGCCCTATAGCCATGTAGTCCTATAGCGCCATAGCCCCAACAAAAACTTGATTGGGTTTTTTTCTGTGGCATCATAGCTTCTGCAGAGGTCATGAGAGGCCCTGATATGGAAGCTCCCCAGTGCGCAGTTCCGGGCAACGATCTCCGCTACGAAATCAACCAGCTGAGGGCGCGGTTGTACGCGAGCAGGCGAGGCGTCCAGCTGCTGGTGTCAGGCCGCAGATTTCGTGTCTGTCGACGCTCTTCGAGAGGATCCAACGCTGCCCTGGAAGGAGAAGAAGGAGCGGCTGTCACAGCATGGCCGACAGTGCGGCGACTTGCTGGGCATGCTGCTGTCAGCGCAAGGCATGAGCATGCTCTTGACGGAACGCGTCGACCGAGACGAGAAGTACCAGATGCTGAAAGGCACAGAAGTAGCGGCGCAGTACATCCACATGGGCCCGGAGGACGAACGGATGTGTAAAGATAAGGACGTGGCGGTGTTATAACGCTTGCCGATGTGCGTGGATGTGCAGAAAATGGACGCACATTGAAGCGTGGATGGGGCTCCCGCCAGGCGTTTATCCCATCGTACCGAGGTCGGGACCGTGGTTCTTGGACTCGAATCGCGCGGTTCCGCGACTGCGGATTCCACGGAAAGAATTGCCGCCGACGCCAGTTTTTTGTGCGACGGTGCATTAGATGCAAGGGATGGATAAAGATCGTCTGGCAGTGGACATGGATGCCCGTTCGACTGGGTCGAAGCAAACACGTATTTGGGACCCAGTCGTGCAAAGACGCGACAGGGTATATACGTGATGCGGCCTTTCCCGAAGGGAGCGTTTCTGGGGGCGGCGCCTGTGGGTCCGCGCACGCTGTTGATGAAATTGTGAGGGAAGGAGATGGATTGGGCCACGGTGAAGGCGCAAATTGAAGATACTCGTGCGGAAGAAGGCCAGGAGAAGAGAAGGATAATTGGTGGCACAAGTATTCTGAAGTGTTCTAAATGCAATGCGCTGGTGGAGTGCACGGAGTTTTCGGAGACGCAGCGTCAGAAGGGAGTGGAACGAGAGTGCGCTCGATGCGTGCAGCCCGAAAGCGAGAAGAATACGTTGAGGGTTTGTAAAGGAGTTTGTGGGCAGGAGTTGCCACAATAGCCATTCGGGGATGCGGATCGGAAATGTTCGAATTGCGGCAAGGCCGAGTGCCCTGATAAAAACCTGCGGGATTCACATTGCTTGATCAATCATCCTTATTCAGGAAAGCGCCGGTTCGGTTCGGTTAGGTTAGGTTCCGAAGCGCCTCCGGTTCGTATCCGTTCGGTGTTGTAATCTTCCGGTTCGGTTCGATTCGGCTCGGTGCGTTTATTTTTGCTTCCGGTTCGGACCGGTTTCTGTCCCTGTTCGGTTTTGTTCCGACCAGATCGCCGTCGACGAGCGGATCCGGGGAGAGGCCCGAAGGGGCCCCAAAGGGCACCCTAACCCCAAAAGTAGCCCCAAAGGGGCCACGAAGGGGCCCCTAACCCTAAAGGGGCCCCGAAGGCCTTGGCAGGGACCCCAACCCCCCAAAGGGGCCTAAACCCCACAGGGGCTTCGAAGGGGCCCCAAACCCCAAAGGGCACCCAAACTCCAAAGGACCCGAAGACCCAAAGAAGCGCCAACGGGGCCTCAAAGGGGCCCCGAGCCCCAAAGCAGCCCCAAATGGGTCCCAAAGAGGCCCAACGTCCCAAGGGGCTCCAAACCCCAAAGGGGCTCCAACAGAGCTTCAAACCACAAAGGGTCCCCGAAGGGGTTCCGAAGGGGCCCCAAACCCCGAAGGGGCCCTAAAGGAACCCAAACCCCAAAGGAGTCTCGAAGAATACCCAAAGGGGCCTCGAACCCCAAAGGAGCCACAAAGGAACTCCAAACCCCAAAGGGGCCCAAAGGGGACCCCAAACCCTAAAGGGGCCCCACAGGAGCTCCAAAGAGACCGCAAACCGCAAAGGGTGTCCGAGGATCCCCCAGAGGGGCCCCAAACCCCAAACATGCCCCAAAGAGGCCCCAAATCCCAAAGGAGCCCCAAAGGGGCACCAAACCCCAAAGGAGCCCAAAAGGGGACCCCAAAGAGGCCCCAAACCCCAAAGGGGCTCCGAAAGAGCCCCAAAGGGGCCCCAAACCCCAACGGGGTCCCAAAGGGTCACCAAAAAGGTTTCGAACCACAAAGGAACACCAAAGGGGCATCAAAGGGGCTCCAAACCCCAAGGGGGGTTCGACGAGGCCCAAAACCCCAAAGAGGCACCAACAAATGGGCTCCAAGCCCTAAAGGGGGCCCAAACCCCAAATGGGCTTCAAAGGGGCCCCAAGGCCTTACGCAGCTCCAGACTTCAGAAGGGCCCCGAAGGAGCCACAAACCCCAAAGAGGCCACGAAGGGGGACCCAAAGGGGCCCCAAACTTCAAAGGGGGTCCGAAGGGGCCCCGAAGGGGCTCCAAACCCCAAAGGGGCCCCAAAGGGGCTTCAATCTTTAAAGGAGCCCCAACGAGACCCCAAACCGCAAAGGGACCCCAAAGGGCCCCAAACCCCAAAGCCCCGAAGGGGCCCAAAACTTCAAAGGGAGCCCGAAGGGGCTCCAAAGGGCTCCAAACCCCAAACGGGCCCCAAGGGGTCCCCAGACCACAAAGGGATTCCAAACCCCAAAGGGGCCCCAAAGCCAAAAGGGCCCCAAACCCTAAAGGGGCCCCCAAGGGGCCCTTGTCGGGGCGGCTGCAGCAGACTGCTGGTGGGTTGTTTCCGATTCGGTCCGGTTCGGTCCGATTCTCCGGTTCGGCGGGGGGAGTTTCGGCCCGGTTCGGAGTCCCAGTTCGGTTCGGTTCGGTGTCGCAATTTTCTGGTTCGGTTCGGTTCGGTTCCCATTGACAAAAAACACCGGTTCGCGCCTGTTCGGTTCGGTTCGGCCGTATAGGTTCGGTTCCGGAACCATTTTGTTTATTTCTTGCCATTATCAACATCCTTCCCGATCCTTATCTCCACTTCTTAGTCTCCTCGTTCGTTCTATTCGTTCCGTCATAATGCTTTCTTTTCCGCTACCATGTCCCCCCAGCTTAATTCGGATAGAGATCCTCACATCTCAGTCCTCTTCCGTCCGCCTTCTCCTTTCCTCTTCTGCATTCCTTAGCCAGTTCGGCTCCAGCCTGTTTGGCTAGAGCCTGGTTGGCCCCTGTTCGTTGTTGAGGGCCTGGCTGCCCTGCCATCTTTTCTGCCCTGTCCGCCCTTGGGACACACAGAACAGACTGAACATGAGCCGCGCGGTGTTGCAGGTCTTCGAGGAGTACCAGAAGGCACGGGTCACCTTCGTGCAGACTGTTGCCGACTTGGCCACGCGCCCTCAGAACATCGACGCATTGCAGAATGCGGGGGTCATGGCCCTGCTGAGGCCCCTGCTCCTCGACAACGTCGCGTCGATCCAGCAATCCGCCGCCCTGGCGCTCGGGCGCCTGGCGAACTACAGCGACGAGCTAGCCGAATCGGTGGTGACCCACGAGATCCTGCCGCAGCTCGTCTACTCGCTCTCACAGCAGAACCGCTTCTACAAGAAGGCCGCCGCCTTTGTCCTCCGTGCGGTCTCGAAGCATTCGCCGCAGCTCTCGCAGGCCGTGGTGGACAGCGGGGCGCTGGAGGCGCTCGTCTCCTGCTTGGAGGAGTTCGACCCCTCGGTGAAGGAGGCGGCGGCCTGGGCGCTGGGCTACATCGCGCGCCACACGAAGGAGCTCGCCCAGACTGTGGTGGACGCCGGCGCAGTGCCGCTGCTGGTGCTCTGTTTTCAGGAGCCCGAGCTGACGCTGAAGCGCATCTCCGCCTCCGCCCTCAGCGACATTTGCAAGCACTCGCCCGAGCTGGCGCAGACCGTAGTCGACGCAGGCGCGGTGTCGCTCCTCGCGAGGGACATCTCCCACAGTGACGCGCCGCTGAAGCGACAGGTGTGCTCGTGCCTGGCGCAGATCGCCAAGCACTCGGTCGACCTGGCGGAGGTGGTCGTGGAGGCCGAGATCTTCCCCCGAATCTTGCACTGCTTGAAGGACATGGACGAGTTCGTGCGCAAGAACGCGGCGACGTGCATTCGAGAGATCGCGCGCCACACGCCAGACTTGGCCAAACTCATCGTCAACGCGGGCGGCGTGGCCGCTATCGTCGACTACATCACAGAGGCGCGCGGCAATAACCGCCTCCCGGGCCTCATGACGCTGGGCTACATCGCGGCGTTCTCGGAGACTCTCGCGCTCGCGGTCGTGGTCTCCAAGGGTATCCCCCCCCTGAAGGACGCCCTCATCAACGAGCCTGAAGACCACATCAAGGCTGCGTCGGCCTGGTCGTTGGGCCAGATCGGCCGCCACAGCCCAGACCATGCGCGCGCACTGGCCGAGGCGGACGTCCTTCGCCGCCTGCTGGCCGTGTACCTGCACCAGGACTCGAGCGAGGACCTGCAGACGAAGGCAAAGCGTGCCCTCAAGAGCGTCGTGCAGAAGTGCACGCACCTGCCCGCGCTCGAGCCGCTGCTCGAGGCTCCCCCGAACATCCTGAAGTACGTGGTGCAGCAGTTCGCCAAGGTCCTCCCAAATGACCTCAATGCCCGGCGCACCTTTGTGCAGTCGGGTGGTTTGCAGAAGATCCAAGAGGTGAAGGCGGAGGTCGGCTCGAAGCTCCACGACTACATCGACGAGATCAACATGCTGTACCCCCCTGAGATCGTGCAGTACTACTCCCCCAACTACTCCGACACCCTCCTCAAGAAGCTCGACGAGTTCAACCCCACCGGCTGAGCCGAGGGCTTCCGGCGAGTATTCTCCACTCCTTCTCGTCTGTTTCCTCCCCGCTTCGTCCCGCCTCTGTGGTCGTCTCTCCTCGGTCATCCCAGGTCCTGGCGCCACTCCCCGTCGCCTGTCCTCGGATAGTGGCTGCTTAAACTGGAGGAGGGCCCGACGCTCTGAGCCTTTTCCCGACACCTTTTCCTCACCCCTCCTCCCTCATCTCCCCCCTTGGTCTCCGTTCCTCTCCCCCGCCTCCTGTCCTTCGTGTTCCCTCCTTCCATTCCCCCTCCTCCTGTCCTCTTCTCATCGCGCCTTCCTCCCTCACTACCGCCCTCTGGAAGCACCCGCCCGACCTCGTGGGAGGAAGAAGGCTCGGGCTGCATCGGTTGAGGGGTGGGGTTGGAGTGGGTTTTGCCTCTTCTTTCTCTTTGTCTTCATCACCATACTCCTCTTTCTTTGTGAAGCTCGTGCTGGATTGCGCCTGCTTCTCCTTAATGCAGGAGGAGCGCGACTACTTTTTCCAGCGATCTCTGTGAACTGAAACCAAGCTTGGACGAGAGGCGCTAGTCTCCCGTGCGCCCGCCCTTACAGCGACTCTGGGCAAGGCGAGGCAAGGCATGGCACTGCCAGTCATAGTCTTGGCAGTCACGCATAGTTCTCCTTCCCATTCTCTGACATGACGTTTCTTGCCTTCGCCCTGTGCTTTTCCCCCCCGTCCTCGACAGCGGCCCCTGCTGAGGCGACGAGTAAGATAGAGCCGGTGTTATGCTGTATCGGCCCGTATCTCTATAACGACCCCCCCCTTCAACGCTTCGAAGGATTGTGTGTTGCAGTGCCGTTGTTGGTCCTCCATGTTGGTCTTTGTGGCAGTGCTTGGGCCCCGTGATTATCAAGCATTTGTCCGAGGCGACCTGGAGAGATCGATGTCTGGGTCTTTGGGAGCACCCTTGAGGAAAAAACGCAGGCTGTATCGAACGGGGGGGCAGGGAAGCCGCGTGTCGTTCTCCAGCGCCTCCTTTCAGAGCAGCCGCAATGATCAATGATGGCACATGCGGACTCCAGAGACGAGGGCCGCCAGACGCTCAGGAATCCCTGGATCGTATCTTCTAGAACCCCGAATCATCGGGGCTGAGGGAGGTGAGGGGTAGCTCCTGGCGCGTGCCTCGGGAGCCCAAGCCGGAGTTACCCCGGAGCGTAGTAATTAGGGATAAATAGTTGGAGCGTCCAATTTTTCAGTCAATCGCATCATGTCTTTTCTCTTGACCTACAATCAAGGCGTTGAAGCAAGGACCACGTTGGGCTCAGGAGGTGCTCTGGTTTTCGGATCGGTCCGAAGATCTGGGTCGTGGAACGTAGTCGTGGTCGAGGCTGACCATGGCCAGAAAAGCCCACTCGTTCCCTCTTCAGCCTCCCGCTCCGCGGGGTGCACGTCTGGGTCACGTACATTCCAGTCGTTTTGAAGGACTCCTGGAGCCTAGTGGGGGCCTCCTGGTGGAAGTCTCTTTGAGCCTCTTGTTCACCTTGAAGGGCACCCTGAGTGAAACAATAACTTTGCCCTTCACATTTTTTCATTGATCGGCGGGGGCGCGGTCCTTCCGGAGAGTCGGGATGCAGCGCTGCACGCGGAGGGGTGGCAGGGTCGCTTACCTGGACAGGTCGACGCATGAGCGCGCGCACGGGGGCGGGTGCAGTGCGCGATGACGCCGCCTGTGGACGTAGCATGCGCGCGATTCGGTGATCGCTCTGCGATGTATTCCGCAGTCTGCACTGCCGTCGGGGCCCCGATCTCTAATCTATCTAGGCCTGCAGGTTCAGGGCCCTCCCGAAGTTCTTCGCGGTGCACGTCGTCGCCGCATCTCGACGGGCCCCGCGGGTCCGCGTCGGGCTCCGATGGGCTCTCTTCGGGGCAGACCTGCTCGAGACCGTCTTGCTGGGCTCTGTCGGATTCCCATCGTCCCCGCGGGGCAGTGTGGAGTGAGTCGGGCCTCGTCGGTCTCCGTCGGGCCCTGTTGGGCTCAGTCGGGATCCGTCGGGCCCTTTGGGCCCCGTTGGATTCCGTCGGGCGCCGTCGGGCTCCGTCGGGCCTCCTGCCCCCTAGTCCCGCCCGCCTGCCGAATCCAGACCCGTCACCGCTCAAGGGGTGCGCCGGGCGCCCGAGGAACCGCAAGACGAGCGAGGTTGTTCATGATTGAAGCGAGAAGCGGAGGCAATGAAGGTTTCAGTGAAGTTTCTCGTGGATTCTTTTTGGTCCCGATTCTAGTTGCCACAGGTCACCAGGAGCTTTACCAGACAGTCCAGCGGCTGTGCCGCCAGAATTTCCAGCGAAAACCTCACGGGAAGAGCATTGTGGGGCGATTCGCGACGGGCGCCCAGCTGCTCGGGAAGTTCCCGCCGCAACTGTCACTGGTTACCAAGCCCGTGGCCAGGCGGTGCATCTTTAGCGAGCACGAGCGTGCCATTCAAAGGCGTCGCCATCCCCGCACATCACAGCAGCCAACGCCATCACCATCTGCACCGCCACCACGAGTCATCAGCGCCGCTCTCAGGACTTCACACTGCAGAAACAAAGGAATGTCGTCACCATTGCCATCGCGGCATCCGTCTCGTCATTACCACAATCAGGAGGTCATGTGTCTGCACCATCAGAAACATATCCGCAGCAGTGGAGGCAAGGTCGTAGCATGTGGCACTCCGTGTCCCAACGGTCTGCAGAGAGTGGTTTATTGATGGCTTCGCCCTGCGCGGCGCCCTCGCGATTGCCTCGCTGCTTGCGCCGCGCAGCTGCGCTGAGCGGCTTCTCGCCTATCCCGCGCCCAAGCGAAGAGCATTGTCGCGGGGCCGAGGCCTCCCCATTGTCACCTCGGCGATGCCCACACATTGCCTTGGATGTTTTCACCCGACGCCTTCTGGGAGCTCCGTTTAGGTGACTCTTGGGGGCGTTTCGGGTAGTCGTGGGGCGTTTTTGCGCCGTTTGGTTCCTTCGGGAGCCGTCTTGGGGGCAAGGCTTTCGCCACACCGTCGACCCCTGGAGTTATTCGGAGTACCTCAATAGTTTTGGGGTGACCACTAGTTCGGGGGGGCCCTTGTAGTGCGGGGGAGGCCCTGTGGTCCTGGGGGGTCCTTGTAGTTTACGGGCTGGAGCCATGTATTCGGGGGGGGGGGCGGCCTTGTAGTCTAACTCAGGGAGGGTGCTTGTAGTTTCGGGGTGGCCCTGTAGTCGGGGGGGTCCTTATTCTCCCAGGGGGTTGTTGTTACGAGTTGGATCAGCGCGCGGGGGGAAAGGCTCAGCCTAGCGGTTGGGCAACTCGCGGTTGCAACGCCACGTCGGCTACTCGCTGGCAGCGCACCCGCGCTCGCGCGCGTGCGCGGAGCCTTTCAAGGCAGAGGCGCCCACCTCCACCGCTTGTCCGTCATGGGCAATTCTTAGTTTTCGTACTGGAAGGGTGATTGTAGTCGGGGGGGGCCCTTGCATTCCAGGGGGGTCTCAGTAGTTGGAGGGGTCCTGATAGTTCGGCGGGAGCCCTTGTAGTACGGGAGGCCCTCGGCACTCGGAGAACTCTCAAATTTTCGCGCACCCGTTGTGGCAATCTGCCTGTGTCCGTTCTCATCACTCACAGAAGCTGGTTGCTGCTGTTGCTGTGTCTGGAAGAGGCTCCTGTTTCGTTATTACACTGCTATTGCTGCTTTGACATTGTCAGGGCCTTGTTTCTGTTCCAAGGCACCTTCGTGCAAGACCTCGGCTGTGGGGGCTGCCATGGGCGGGTCGGGTGTAGTCTGCAGGTCAGGCATGTGGCATCCTCGCAGGCTCGCCTGCGCTGATAGGGCCTTCCCCATCAAGATGTTGCCGTCCTCAGACAGCAGCCCTGGCCAGGCGGCGCCCGCGATGCGGAAGTGAAGCGATAGCCGTCTCGCCTCCTTCGTCCTCCTGCAGCCGTCGTGTCGGCACGTCTCTTCGCCGTTAGCGCCGTCGCCGTCGCTGTCGTTCAGGGGCAGCCTGACCGACCCCTAGGAAAGCTCCCTCTTCCGTGACGACCCCCCCCGTCTCGTATTTAGACGTGGGCAGGCGGCTGGAGGGGAGCCTCGAGGGTGAGGGGCTCGTCATGAAAAGGGATCGGTTAGGCCGCATGTGAGTGCTGCTTTGCTGGGGGCCTGCTTCCCCTGCGCAGTGGCCGCCACCGCTCTCCGTTCTCTTTCTCTGCCCTGCGGCTCTGGAGGGCTCCGGTATGGTACGTGTGTGTGTGGTGTGTGTGTGTGGTGTGTGTGTGTGTGTGGTGTGTGTGTGTGTGGTGTGTGTGGTGTGTGTGTGTGTGTGTATGTGTGTCGGGTTGCCTCGCGAGGCGCAGCAGACGCCGCAGGGGTGCCCAGCGCCGGAGCGGGGCCCCCTCGCGCTGGAGGCGCCTGACGACGCCAGGGGCATCGGCGATCCGGGTGCTTGGGACAAAGGTGGGAGGAGGAGGAGGAGGAGAAGGAGGAGGAGGAGGAGGACTAGGAAGGGGGGGGTGTAAGCAGAAGGAAATGAGAGGAGGAGGAGAGGAGAGGGAGGAGGAGGGAGGAGGAGGAGGAGGAGGGAGGAGGAGGAGGAGGAGGAGGAGGAGGAGGAGGAGGAGGAGAGGAGGAGGAGGAGGAGAGGAGGAGGAGAGGAGGAGGAGGAGGAGAGGAGGAGGAGGAGGAGGAGGAGGAGGAGGAGGAGGAGGAGGAGGAGGAGGAGGAGGAGGAGGAGGGAGGAGGAGGAGGAGGAGGAGGAGGAGGAGGAGGAGGAGGAGGAGGAGGGAGGAGGAGGAGGAGGAGGAGGAGGAGCAGAAGGATGAAAGAGAGGACGCAGGGGTGGCTTGCCCATGAGGCCGATCTTGCCCGCCCTCCCGCCTCGTGCCCAGCCCTCTCGCACCGGGATGACAGGGACGAGGAGGAAAAGGAGGAGGAGGAGGAGAAGGGGGAGGGGGAGGGGGAGGGGGAGGCGGAGGAGGAGGAGGAGGAGGAGGAGGAGCAAGACGAACAGGGTAATGACAGAAGGATTGAAGATGAATGTAACTAGTAGGAGTCAACTCAGCCCGGTCAAGTAAGTCAGAGGGACCCGCCCCTTCCCAACCTGTTTCCCACAACATAATAATCAATTGAGGCACAATTGGATTTTGGGATTGGAGCGCGCTTCCACCTTGCAAGCGGAGTGCGTTCGCGCGCGGCCCCGATTCCGACGACTTGGCGAGCAACCAGCGGGCCGCGCTGACACAGCATTGCCACCAGTCGCAAGCGCGGCGCTTGCACGAGGTCTGTATTTTGCCTGCTCTCGCGCTGACCCGGTGCCGATGTCGCGTCCGTACGATTCGGCGAACGAACCATGCGACGCAATTGCGCGGGATCGCCAGTTGCAAAGGAGACGCACGGATCTTTGGAAAAAGAGCGACATAACGTCCAGTCGCGCCCTCCAGAGTTGGTGAGACATCCACGAACTGGCGGGAGCGCCGCTTTCAGTCGAAATCTGCGCGGCGCCAGGGCGAGAGCGACCTGTTCGTCCGCTCACGTGTCGACGAAGTTGCGCGCATCCGTAACCATTTTGGCACAAGAGCCGTTCTGGCCCAGCACAGCGGTGTGGGCTTGCAACAGCGAGCTGCAGAATTGTTGTGATGTTGCGGGTTACGGGTGGTTCGTTCTTGCATGTTTCAGGTTTTGGGACCTCATTCCTTATTTTTCATGTGTGAGCTCCTGGTCCTCTCACCACGCTCTGTCCAGAATCATGGCGGGATGCGGCAACATTCGACATGGGCTCCTTCGCATTCGCGCTGGGCGT